AATCATATTGAAGCGAGTCTGCTTGCAAAACAGGGGAATCTATCATGCGTTACGGCTTCTCTGTACTCTGATTCGGCATCTCCTTCCAACCAACTGTTGTTTTGGTGAGAGTAGTTCTGTGGGGCAGTCCGAATGGGTGCTTTGCTTCTGATCTGTCTTGGTTGTTCGGCTCGGTAGTTTTGACTGTGATCCCTTCTACTTTCTCTGTTGTGACTTTCACTTGGTCCAAGTCTCTCGAATGCGGACTTCCTTTGATTTTGATCTTCCTTCCTATGAGATGTTGATCTGGCGGATAGTCTTGAACAGGTTCTTCCATCGTGTGTCTTTAGGGCTGTTGTCCGGAGAAGTTCTCGGAGCTGTTCCTGCTGTTCGTTGGGATGCGAGGTCGTTCTAAGTTCTTCAAGTGCTTCTCAGATCCTGTTGTAGGATGTGTTCGCCGCACGTCTTTCTTCGACTTCTTGTTCTGATTTTCTTCTATTGTATTCGGCCAGATCTGACTCATATCTGATCCAGACTTCTTTACGCTGCCTAGCACGTTGTTGGCGTCCTTGTTTTAATTTGTTTCTTCTTTCTCTGGCTTGCCTGTGACTCTCGGTCTCACCATCGTAGCCCTGGGCAAAGGGTGATATGTTGGACTTAGATTCATCTGATGATCTGACGTCGAGTGCTTCTGGGGGGATCAATGGTGATCGAGGACGGCGAACCATGAGTACTTCACGTGCGTGGACTGTTCTGTTACTGGTGTTGGTTTCCATACTGTTGGAGTTGCTGATAACTTTGGTAGAAGCTTCAAGGCCGCAGATCGAGTCTCCTTCTTGGTAGGGTAGAATTGCCGTTGTCGTCGTGCCGACCAGTCGGGTACTGCTATCCTCAGGAATAGAACCTGGCCAGTGGACAATGCAGTCCTGAGACGTTATGGTTAGCACGAGACCTTCCTGAGCTCCTTTCAGTGGCATTATAAACACCGGATCAAGGGATCCTTCGAGCCGTGCCTGATAGGACTTTGCCATGTTGTGGGGTCCGAATGGAAAAGGATCTGACTTCTTGAAAAGATTCTGAGTGTTCTCCGAGTTGTATTCTTGATATGTCGAGGCCGCGTTCTGGAGCTCCATCGGAAAAGAACTCGGATCTTCGAAAGAACTCGGGTCGGGCTCCATCTCGGATGCGAAGCCTGAGTTCGAGTTGGATGCGCAAAGCCATGAAAACCTGAGTTGAATTGGACATCACGAGCTACGCGAATCTTTCGGTGATTTGATCTGTCGTAGTCGCCAAAATAGGAAAGTTTTCATGGTGAACCGAATCTTTGAGAAGACGGTTTTGGAGCTTGCCATCGTCGCCTGCCTCGCAAATCCACGAACCGAAGATGAAGGTTGATCCTGTTGAGAAGATCATGTTGTTGAGGTCCATTGATCTCTCGGATGCAAATTCGCCGAAAGCCCCTACCTGGCGCGGCAGCTTTCGATGTTTGACCACCGATAGCCTGCCACGGGGGTCCCCGGGGTAATATGTTCGGGCTTCAGCGTATGCGGAACTCGACGGTGAACGCAAGAGACAGTCGATTTATCATGGTTCGGGCTCTCGACCGTGATCGAGTAATAGCCCTACGTCCAGTCGGCGTTAGCCTTGCGTTGGATTGATTGCGTGTTGTTGTGTTGTATGGTCGTCCCGTCTCTAGGAATCCCGCCCTCCTTTATATAGTCAGGAGATCAGAGTCCTAATCGGTTTACAATGAGAGTTTCTAGTAGGATTACAAAATAATACGACTACTAGAATTACATGGGAAGAATCCTAGTTAGACTAGATGTTCTCCCTTCCTGGCGGGATATCCTGTGGGTCCCGCATCGACAAGTAGCCAAATTCTCAAATTTCGCAAACTAAACACAGCCGTAGTTTTGTTCTATCCTAATTGATAAGAACTTGATTTTGACTTTAATCGAAATATACTATTGAAATTAGGAACCTTTTAAAACCACCAAATATCTCCTGTATGATCCCAAAAGATTAATAAAAACTAAATTTCAGAGCTACCAGGACCTGTACACATACACCAAAAAAAAAAGGGTAGCCATTCCTCGCGGCCTCCTCCGCCTTCACCTCCAACACCACGGAATACTGCTCGCTCTGTCAGTCTGCCACCCTCAACCGCAGCAGCACTACAGAATCCATGAATACCCTGAGGCAAGCTTTCTCCTAAACTATTTCTTTCTGCTCCCTTTCACTTAGCTTTGTATTCTAACCGGTGCTCAAGCTCTACTTCTACCTTATTGCCGCACTTACACTCATATGCATGGCAAGATAGCTAATCGCTATGCTACAGTCCATGTGCTGATGTGCAAGTCCAACCATAGTGCCACCTATTATCTGAACTCACTTATTCAGTTATTCAGTCACGAATCCCCTGATCTCCAGTGTTAAATTGTTATAAAAACAAGATGGACAGAGCTGTGGCTCAAAGGCTGATCTATGATGCTGGAATAAATTTGGTTACAATTTATGACCTACGGTTGTGGCCTTGATGCAGCTATGTTAAACTTAAATCTTTGCTTACAAAGCTGCAGCTCAAAATATAAGCATGTAGCTAAATATGGCTAACAGAGATGTAAAAGGGGGGCAGACCCAGTGCCGGAGGCTCCCACATGAGTGGAGTCTGGGACTCAAGGGAAGAAAAAAATCGAGGCAAGCCTTCCCCCTGCAAAATCTGCGGAGAGGCTGTTTCGAACCCATGACTTGGTGACTCAGTAAGACAGCTCTCACCACTGCACCAGACTAACAGAGATGTGGAACCTAATAAAAATTTCTTCAGATGTTCTGATGGTTATCTCCAAGTGACGACTATCAAAGAAAATGTGAACATGGTGCTACCGAAATTCCGAGATAGAGTGTGTTGTATTTCTTCTCTATCTTGCTCTCCTTTCTAACATTTTTCTTGAAAAAGTTGCATATTGCCATGTTCTAGCTTCCTGCAATATGTTTGAGATTGAGGAACCATAATTCAGGGCTGAGCCATGCGGCAGGGTCCTGTGGCTAGTAGAGTCATGTTTTAATTAGGTTGTAAGCGTGCATTTGAGTGTGTAAAAAGTGAATAGGTAACCTCAACTGTAAAAATGTTTGACACACTCATTTGCATTCCAAAGAAACTATTATCTGAAAACTAGCAGGAATCTTTGCAAAAGAACATGTTTAATTTCAATGTGATAAGCACAAGTACGCTAAAGCACTTAAATTACAATCACTTTTGCTGCAACTCATGGTATCTGTCATTTTCAGAAAGTCTGAATCACATCGATTATCCTTTCTTAGTATCTATTTAAAACATTTTGTAAAAAATAATTGTCACTATAAGGTTAATTATGTTTTAATACAAAAACTGATATTATCATAGGTAGCAGCCCCTACTAATTGTTTTAAGGAGGTAACCGGCGCCACGAGAAATGAACTGGCCCGATCTTGTATGGCGCGGCCTTGCCGCGCCTGTGTTTCTAGTATGGGAGCACGAATCCAGGACCAGGAGCTCCTCTGTCACCCGCCACTGGCACACGGCGGCACCCGGATCCTTTCTTTTCTGCTCGGGGCTCTTGCTTCCATACCCTTATTTTATATTGATAATGTGATTTTACTTTTATTTTTTTAACTTTGTGAATTTGTCCCTACTTATTCAAAACAAAGCACCACTTTACCCCTATTCCATTATCCTCCCCTAATGGTGTTAACTTTTGTATCAAAGGACAAATATGCCCTTGTGATTTTGCCCCTGGTTTTAGGGCTATTTGTGATTTTACCCCTAACTTGGAATAAGACACATATACTGTATTTTGAAAAAAATGGTTATTATATTTGATCAATTCAGATTTAATATTGGAAAAATTATTCACAAATCACATGTTGGGTGTCTATAGTAGTCCTGTCCTGACTATGATACCAAAAAAGTTAGGAGCAAAATAACAAACGAAATCAGCAAATCAAGTCAATTGTTGCATCAGCCTGTGCTACTTGCCAATGCCGTTCAGACGAACACCGTGCTCTCGTTGCCATCGCCGCTCCTATTCTTGCTGCTCGGTCACTGCTCGGTCGATGCATGCAGCAGCGTAGCAAGGTGGTGTGACGCAGCTCCAACGACAATTACTACCTTCTCTTGCGGCGCTCACGGCAGTTCATGCCCTGCAGGAAAAGAGCCTTTTCATCGGATCCCTCCGCCGCCTCCTCTTGCGGAGATGGGAGGCTCTGCTTGGTCGTTCGGCCCAATTTCGCGACGAGACCGCATGGCGCCCTCCTTGCATCGCGGTCGCTCGACCGCCCAAGACGCCACGCCCGATCACTGCGCGCCCATTGCCGATGTCGCGACGTCGCCACCACAATGCGCTACTGCACGCCCTTGATCATCATGTGACTTCGCCCAATGCGGACACCGCCATGAGTTTCGCATATCACGCGCGCGCGCACCTGCCAGCCGCGCCCCCGTCGCGGGCACCCACCGAACGTGCCTCCCCCGTTGATGTCGCGCGCCCTGCCCAATAGACACGGGTGGACACGGTGCGGATGGGATAACTATGATAAGGGCATTTCAGTCATTTCGCATCTGATTTTATGTGTGTTTTTTAAAATCGTTTAATCAGCCTCTAAATAACGGACATTCAAATCAGGGGCAAACTGCTCCTTCGTTTCAAAATAACAGGAGTAAAATTATAAAGTTAAAAAAATAAGGATAAAATCACAATTGAACCTGACATGGGCAAAAACACCGCTTTCCCTGTCTCTTTCGCAGAAACGCTCGAGCCCGCAATCATTTCTCCTCCTTTAGCCCATTTCGCTAACGCTTTCCAGGCCACCGGAACGGCCCAAATCGAGCAAACTACAGGGCCCAGAAGCTGCGGGAACGAACGGCAAAGGGAATCTGCCTGAAATGAAAGGGCGTTGCGAATGCGAGCCGCGCGGGCGAAGCCTTGTGTACTCCCGCGGTCCGCCGCACTTTCGGCAGCCGCTGCCTCGCCGCTCGCCGGGAGATGGCGGCGGTGCGCGTCCCGCGGCGCGGCCCCTCCGTCCGCGGGCCTGCTCCTCCCGCTCCACGCGCACCTCGTCGTGTCGGGCCGCCTCGCCGCATCCCCCGCCGTGATCACGTCCCTCGTCTCCCTCTACGCTCGCGGCCCGGCCGCGCTGCACCCGGCCGTCCCGCTCCTCCTCCCCGCCTCCGCGCCGCCCCGCTGCCCTGCTTCAACGCCGCGCTCTCCCTGCCGCACGCGCTCGCGCTCCCGCTCTTCCGCCGCCTCCTCGCCGCGCACTCCCCCGACGCCTTCTCCTTCCCGCCCCTCTTCTCCTCGGCCCCCACCTCGCCGCACCTGCTCGCGCTCCATGCACTCGCGCTCCGCTTCGGCCTCGCACACGACCTGTTCTGCGCCAGCGCTCTGCTCCGCCGGTGCCTGAGGTTCGGCCTCGCCGACCACGCGCACCGCCTGTTCGACGAATTGAGGCACCGGGACGTCGTCGTGTGGAACTCCATGCTCAATGGGTTCGTCAAACTCGGGTGCTTTGACCGGGCTACAGAGTGCTTCAGGAAGATGAGGGAGGAGGGTGGGGTGGAGATCAGCAGCTTCACAGTCACCGCGATCTTGTCCGTGTGTACAGCAACAGCCGATTTGAGGCGCGGGGCTGCAGTACACGGGTTGTCGGTGAAGTCAGGATTTGACAAGGAGGCATCTGTGTGCAATGCGTTGATAGATCTTTACGGGAAGTGCCACCAGGTGCACGATGCAACCATGGTGTTTGAGGGGCTGCCAGATACTGACAAGGATCTGTTCAGCTGGAACTCCATGCTGTCAGCGCATCAGTACTCGGTTGATCACATGGGGACGATGAGGGTCTTTGCGAGGATGAGACGTACTGCACTTTTGCCTGACGCAGTGACTGTTGCCGCTGTTCTCCCGGCATGCGCGCAGACTGCAGCCCTGCAGGTTGGGAGGGAGGTGCATGGATACATCGTGACGAGCGGACTGGCCTGTGATGGAGCACTGGACGTGTTTGCTTGCAATGCGCTGGCGGACATGTATGTGAAGAGCGGTGGGCTGGATGATGCTCGTCGTGTGTTTGATTGGACACGCCAACGGGATGTGGCATAGTGGAACATTATGATCGATGGGTATGCGTCACATGGGCGTGGGCAGGAGGCACTGATGTTATTCCATCAGATGATAGAAGAAGGCTTGGTTCCAGATGAGGTAACGCTGCTGTGAGCATTGTCGGCTTGCAGCCACTCTGGGCTTCTCGAGGAAGGGAAGGGTTTCCTAAAGAGGATGAAAGAGGAGTTTGGATTGGAGCCACAGCTAGAGCACTATGCGTGCGTCACCGACATGCTTGGGCGAGCAGGGAGGTTGGATGAAGCAAGAAAGGTAATAGAAGAGGCTGTTGATGTTGGTGCTGGTGCATGGAGGACATACCTTGCGGCATGCCGGATGCATGGTGATAAGGAGAGAGCACAAGAGGCAGCTAGGATGTTGATGATGGCAGAGGAATCAGGGAGCGGGGGGTGGGTTCTGCTCGCCAACACTTATGGTTGGGACGGAAACTTTGAGGAGCTCAAAGAGGTGAGCCAGTAGATGAAACGCCAAGGGGTGCAGAAGGCAGCTGGTTGCAGCTGGGTTGAGGTCGGATGAGAGAATAATGGAAGTGGAACAATGATTCATACTTTTGTTAGTGGGGTTAGGGGACACCCAGAGGGCTGACATGATTTATGAAATGTTGCACACGTTAATAGGTTGGATGAAGGAGTGCAGCCATCTGAGCAATATAAATCCAATGTATCTGGCAGAATGCTCATAACTTTTCAAATTGTGCTACACAATTGGTTACACAAGCACATGGACTGACAGTAGCCCATAAATTAGAATGGTGCATCAGAAGATAAAGTTAAGCTCACACCATCAAGACCAGCACCAAAATTTGGTCCTGGCAACAAATTTTCACCAAATATCAATGTTCCAGCGGCCAGTGCTCCAGCTCCGAGCCCCATTCCAAGGTTAGATGAACCATTCTGACCTGCAAACCTTCTTGGTGGCATATTTATGTAGCTCCGTGGCACTTTCCCCCTCGTAGGATACGGTGGGGAAAAGTAACTGGGGTTTGAAGTGGTTGGTGGCAGGGTTTGTGGGATCAGAGGGGGTTGATTGCTTCCTGGCGGTGATGGATCTGGCCGAGTGGTAGGGCTTGTTGGCATGGTGTTGCTGTAGCGATCATCATTTTTGCTGTGATCCCTATAATGGCTTGAGGGCAGTGGTGGATAATTATAAACTGGACCATCTTCTATAGCTAGTGTGATACCGACCTGGTTTGGGTGCTTTGATCCGTTGTGTGATCCTGCACATTAACAACAGAGGCAGATAAGTTGAATTCAGTCATATACTGATACTGATTGTGTTATAATCAGTAAGGTCAATCTTTGTTAAGGCCATCCCAAATCACTTGCTCTATTGGTTAAACATAACTTTGTATTGTTTGTGTGCAAATTTACCTATAGCAAGATCTATTTATTTATTTTTTGTTGTACTGAATTCCTGTCGGTGCAAATTTACCCATAATGTTTTATCTTGAAAGAAAAAGCATAAGTTTCTGTTTACCTGAAAACTGAGAATGAACATCTTCCTCCTTGTAGATACGGATGGATACGTCGACAAACCCATGAGCTTTGTCTGACTTCTTCCTCCTTAGCTGGAAGCTTGCAGTCTCCTCAACACCAGGCTGCTCCTCGCCGTGCTCAAATTTGTCGAAATACTCTTTCATCTGGACAACGGCAGCTCCCTGGAGGTGCTCCCTGAGGAAGATGGGCTCTCTCCTGTACACTTCCACCGTCAATGCCATCTGTTGCAGGCTGCTCAGATCATGCTCGTCAACCGAGACCGAGAACTTCATGCCCCAGCTTGGGTCGGAGCTCCCCGACGCATCCACCTTGGTGCAGTACTTGCTGTTGGGATCGACCCATGCGACGGAGAACCACTGCGGCTTGAGCAGCGACGATCTGCGTCCCAGGCCGCGTGCGGAGATCACACAGAACTCCACCGACGTTTTCGCCATTTGCGTGAAGAGGAAAGGTGAGGAGGTCGCCGGACGGCGACGCGGGCCAGTGAAAACGATGGTGTGATATTCGTTGGCTCATAGGTTGCTGCTTTACCACTCTTTGTTTTTTCTTGTTAGCTTTGCTGTTAACTTCTGGTCATGGAATTGATTCCAAAGCTGCGGCGTTAGAGCATCTCCAAGAGTTTCTTAAATATTCCTCCTAAAAATCTATGTTTACCAATTCCTAAAAGGGTTTTAGGAGAAAAAAAATCATCTCCAATAATTTCTAATATTTAACTTTAAAAATCAAATGCTGGTCTCGTTTGACGAGTGATAATCGATGATCCTTACATTGGGTTGCTAGCTACTACTACTTGCTTGCCCCCAGCCGCCGCCAGCCAATCTTAATCAAGACAAAGAAGAATCGATCTGCAACTGCTGGAGTATATATGTATACAGTACTTATGTACAGAAGAAGAATTACTCGTATTGCTCCTACTGTATGTATAAGTGTGTATGTATGTGCTATGTGTTACATTTGGTTGGGGCTGGTCTTTGGTTTGGGTTGTGTTTTTGTAAAAAGAAAAATCTTTGTGCTGATTTGAAACCTAGCGCCGATAATGTAGTGTCCTAGCTCAGCTCAGCTCCTTCCTTGCACTCCACGGCTGGGGAGCCACACCACACGCTCACTCTCCAGTCTCCAAGCTCACCACCCGCCATTGCTAGCTTCTCTAGTTGAGACGCATGCACATACCGAGCGTAAGCCATGCCACGCCTAGTTTAAAGTAAAGCAGCCGCCGCCTAGCTCATCATCAGCGCCAATTAAGGATCGAGGAACACAACCACCGTATTACATACCGTCATCATCCGCAGCAGCGAGCAATGCCGAAGAATTCCTGCACCGGCGGCTACGAGATCCAAGCTAGCGGCATCTGTTAGAATTGATCTCATCCGTCTTGACCCAACGGTCGAGACGGACCCCTTGACCGCGTCCTGATCGGGGACGTCCAGCCATCTAGTGGTTGGTGGGCCCCCGTCGCACAGTGCCTATAAAGAGGAGGTGGGGTAAACGGCTCGGGACACGAGGTTCACTGCCGCCGCCACAACCCCGCCGTCTAACCCTAGTCCGATCGAGAGGGAGGCACTGCCAGCGGTGGGAAGCGCCACTGGCTCCACCACCGCCGGTCTCCACCGCTACACCAACCGTCGCTGCCCCGTGCGCAGATCTTCACCGACGAACCAACGAAGGCAGAGAGCTCCTCCGACGGTCAGATGCTTCTACGTCTCTCTCTCTCTCTCTGTCTCCTACTCCCTCTGAATCTCTAAGTCACTGATTACCAAATACAAGGAATCACCCACTGGATCTACACCTAGACGATCTAAAGAATCTAACAATGGTATCAGAGCAGGTTCCGCGTAGATCAAGTAGGGAAAAGCAAAGATGAAGAAGAACCGAATTCGATTGAAAAAGTGAACCCAAACCCTAACCCTAAAGAAATTGGACGGTCCGGGGAAGTCTTACCGGGGCTTTCCCGCCGCCGTCACTACCGCCTCACGCGGGATGGAGCACCCGCCGCCGGCTTGCTGACGCGCGGGAAGAGAATCAAAAGAACAGAAAGAAAAGAACGGATTAGATCCTTTCGGATCTGAGCATACAGACTAGGGTTTTCACTAACCCTAACCCTAACTGGGTGAAGATGGAAACAGAGGGCTCGGGTTCAAGAAAACGATGAGATCCGAACCCTAACCCACTACAGACTCGGGGAAGAAGAAGAACGAGGTGAATCCCTAACCCGAAACCCTAACCCTAGATCCAATCCCCATCCCCAAATCGGTCAGAATCGAGAAGAGAAGCAAGATCCAAACAAGCAGAAACACAGAAGGAGAAAGGGAAAAGCAAGGCCGGCGGTTTACCTCACCGCTGCCATCTCCGTCGTCGTGCGGGAAAGACCGGACCGCGCCGGCGTTCGTCGCTGAGACGCATCCGCGCGGGTACGGGTACAGGGCGCCGACACGGAGCCGCTTGATGGTGGCGCGCTCTCCCGATGGGGAGCGCGCTAGCCGGCAACAGGGCCCGCGGTGGCGCCGTCTTCGTCTTCTCCTCCGGCGTGGCTCGCTGTCGCTCGAGTGCGTCGCGCTGCTGAGAGAGAGAGACACGCGAGAGAGAAGGGGAGCAAAGAAATGAGGATAGGGTTTCGGGGGAGGTCGGCCGCGGCGGGTTTTTGATCGGGCGAAACGGCTGGACGATCGTCGGATTTGATCCGACGGCGAGGAGTCACCGGCCACTCAATGGCCTAAGTAGGCGAAGGCCTTGATGATGTTTTCTTGGCCTAGGCCCGTTGTAGGCAGGTGGTACGCTGCTGCAGCGTGCCGAAGTTGGGCGAACCGTTTTGCGGTTAGGCCTATACAAATGAGAAAAGAATTAAGTCATTTTTCTTTTTCTAATTTTCCAGTAAAATGCAATTTCCTAGAAAATGATAAATGGCTCAAAGAAAACTGAAAAAGAGAATTTTCCTGTGGGTAAAATTCAACAATTATGTCCATAGTTCCCGCTGCAAAGATTGTTTTATACTCCGATAAAATTTTTGATTATTTTAATTGGAGGAATAGTCGATTTATAGTTAAGATAATTTATAATATTGTTATTTTCTGACCAACGTTGATGATAACAATATTATAAGTTTATTTATGAGTTTAATTTTAAAGTTAAATTATGGTATTGTTATTTTCTGACCAACGTTGATGATAACAATATTATAATTTTATGAGTTTCATGATTAAAAGTTTAAATCTCTGATGAATTTTGCATCAAAGTGACCAATTTTCAGAGAACAGATAAAGATCAAGGAGTGCTCTTAAATTAGAGAAATGTATTTTCAGGTTTTCGCTGAAATGAAGTTGGTTGTCTTCTAATTAAATTCGAACCAATGGGAGAATTTAATTTGAGGAACACTTCTATGTTTTAAGATTATTGAGTTTCTATACGTTAATTCCATTTCTGCCTAACGGTGATATGGAATTAGTGTAAAAGAATGATGTTTTATTTTATTTCTGTCCAACGGTGATATAGAATAGAACATAAAGATTTCAAAGTTTAATGAGCATTATTGTTGAATATTTTTTCAAACAAAAGACCTCCATGCTTTCATTCTTGAAGGGAGTAAGAGAAATGAGCTGGGTACTTGTGACTCAGATGATGAAATGTCTAAGGGCAAGTTATGTATGAAAGAATGCAATTGCTTAAGGGACTGTGTTCTCTTTAAAAGAATGGCTTCAAAAGAAAAGAATTCTAGGATATTGATCCAAGAAAAGAGATAGATCAATGAGAGTCTTCATTGAGAAATGTCTTTTATGTACTCTTTGTGAAGAAGAATTTATTTTCAGTTTCACTTATGAGAGTTATAAAAGTCATATACATGTTTAATTTGACCAACATTGGATTAAACATGTGTGTTAAAAGAATATTCGGATTTATTTCTGAATTTGATGATTGAACATGAGTCAATCCTGGCATTTATGTCGATTCAAGGAAATTATCTCGCATGGCGGAAAAAGTTTGTGATAGTACCCGCATGGCGGGAAAAGATTGAGAAAATACCCACATGGTGGGGTAAAGTTGGCATAGTACATATGTTAACCAATCCTGCATGGTGGGATAGTTTTGGCATAGTATTTATCCCGCATGGCGGGAGAAGGATGTGATGACTCATGTGCTCTAACTGTATCCCGCACATGGAAAGAAGTTTGGGGTAGCTCTTATGCTATCCTAGTACTGATCGTACACTCTGATTGTGTCATGGACATTAAATACTCAATGAGTTTAAGAACAAAAGAAAGTTGCATGTGAACCAAAAGATAAGAATGATATGCAAGCGTGACTTGCAGAAGTATTGATAATAATAGACTATGTTGAGTTTTGAAGTGTAATAAGGAAAATGTATTCCCATACGAATTTTGTTTGCATGATGTAATCATGTGGATGAAGTAAGTAATTAAAGTTTCCTCATTCACAAGAGTTCTGAATATTTCGAAATTGTGGTAGAAAAGTTCATACCACATTTCGAGGGGGAAAAATGTGAGATTAATTAAGAAAGACAATTAAGAAAGATACTTCCCCATACTTCAGATAATGCAATGCATACTATGCATTGAAGGTAAAAGTGATCTATAAAAGATGAGTGTGATCATTGAGAGAGTAAGACGGTCATAATAACGATACCCCTAAAGTAAAGAAATAGCTAAATTCCTAGGCCTTTTATAGTTCCGATAGGAAGATCTTAAAGTCGGCTAGTATTCATACTAGACGAGTCTCAAAGTCATTAAGGCGGTGCTTAAAGCACCATTTGAGTTTTGACAGATTAAACCCAAAATAAGAAATTTGAAGATACACCATCTTTAAAGAAGATGGAGTAATCTGGGGGAGCATGGTATGTAGATACCTAAAGCTTGAATAGAAGTGGGATTACATATCCACTACAGTGTTTTAGAGCAACAAATTGCTTAATATATGTTGATGTTGTATGACATATACAATACCAGATGTTAGCTCTTAAAGAAGATGAATAAGTAAACAAGGATCTTGTGATACAGGAGGCTATAGAACATTTGCCTTTTGGCAATAAAGAGCAACAATAGCCCCATATGAAAGAAGTGCCACGAGGCCCCGGAAGGTCTCTAAGAATAAGAAAATCAGATATTTCTGGTGACTAAGAAGTAAAAGTTAAGAAAGAAATTCAAATAGAGAGTGATTCCACCTTATTTGAAAGAGCCATGAGAGGCGTTCACTCGTCTAAATGGCAAGAAGTAAAGGAAGATAAAATGAAATCGATAAATACCAATGATGTTTGGGACTTAAAAGAAATTTCCAATGGAGCCAAAACAGTAGGCTATAATGGGTCTACAAGACAAAGGTGACTCCAAAGGGAATATAGAAAGATATCCAAATAGAATATGGAAAGCTATAAAGCGCCATTTATGGCGAAATGATTTACATAAAGAGAAGGAATAGATTATAATGAGCATGCAATGATTCTTTTAGAATCATAATGGTATTAGTGGCACATTACGATTTATAGTTACATCAGAAGGATGTAAAGACACATTCCTCAATGGGGATTTGTATGGAAAGTTTACATGGCATAACTCAAAAGGTTTTGTTGTGAAAGGAAAAGAACGTAAAGGAATGTTGCCTAAAGAAATCCATTTATGGATTAAAGCAAGCTTCAAGACAATGGTTCTTGAAGTTTGACAGTACAATAAGAAAGTTTGGGTTTTAAAGAGAATGTAGAGGACAATTGTATTTATGCAAAGTTTAAACATGGGAAATTTATTTTCCTAATCCCGCATGTGGGTAGCACCTACTACGCTAGTAGTGGTGTTAATCTCTTTGTTGGAGAAGAAAGCAAGTTCTTGTCCTCAAGTTTCAATGAGAATGGTCTTGATAAAGCATCATTCTTAAAGAAGATGAATAAGAATTGGAACTTGCCGAGATAAAAGGAAAAGGGGTATTAGAACTATCTCAAGTGTATACTTAGAGAAGATTCTAAAGAAATAAAGTATATATGTGAATAAATCTACGCCTGTTCCTATAGTCAAGGGTAATAGTTTTGGAACTTTCAGTGTTCCAAGAATAAATGTGAGATCGATCAAATGGACGTCCTATATGCTTCAGCTGTTGGAAGCTTAATGAGTGCTTATAAGTAAGAACTTACCCTGACATAGTTCATGTATCCGGATGTTTTTGGAAGCTTAATGAGTCTTATAAGTAAGTCCATAGTTCATATCGGGATCCGATATAGGAATGGAGTTGAGAATGTTTTGCAATTGTGCAAAGATTTATAAGCCTCATGGTGAGTAAGAAAGAATAAGTACTCTTAAATAGTTATGGGTACAAATATTAAATTTTAGTGAGACGTTTAGTGAAACCCACATAGTAGCTAACACTCGCAGTTGGAGTTTTATTGTGGAAAAGCTTCAAAGAAATAGTTGTGGTGTCATCAAAGATGCATACCCATGGTATAGCTTGTTATGAGGCTTAAGAACAGGCGAAATGGTTAAAAGAACTTACACCCGGAATTGATAATGGTATACAACAACAATAACCATTTAAGAAGTTCGCTCCTATAACAACGGGCCAAGTGTGCTGCCAAACACATTGACGTTAAAGTTATACATTGTGAAGGAGAAAGTCCGAAATCATACTGAAAGTATTGAACATAAAAGTAACAAGCAAGTGCTTGCGGATCCGCGTACAAAAGGCTTACCACCCAGTGTGTTTGGAGAACACACAGTCGATATGGGTTTATGGTATAGCCTATGATTTCCGGACAATAAATGGCCCAAAAGTTAAAGAATCTGTTTCAGAACAGAGACGTGTATTGTAGCTGTTAAGTCTATCGGCGATTGACCGTGACGATGAAGCATGCTCTATGCACTAATCCGTGATGGAACAAATAAAAGTGAAAGGGATTAAAGTCAAAGTTTAAAGTTAAAGTATGAGTTGAGATCAAGGGGGAGAATGTTAGAATTGATCTCATCCGTCTTGACCCAACGGTCGAGACGGACCCCTTGACCGCGTTCTGATCGGGGACGTCCAGCCATCTAGTGGTTGATGGCCCCCCGTCGCACAGTGATTATAAAGAGGAGGTGGGGTAAACGGCTCGGGACACGAGGTTCACTGCCGCCGCCACAACCCCACCGTCTAACCCTAGTCCGATCGAGAGGGAGACACTGCCAGCGGCGGGAAGCGCCACTGGCTCCACCACCGCAGGTCTCCACCGCTACACCAACCGTCGCTGCCCGTGCGCAGATCTTCACCGATGAACCAGCGAAGGCAGAGAGCTCCTCCGATGGTCAGATGCTTCTACGTCTCCCTCTCTCTCTGTCTCCTACTCCCTCTGAATCTCTAAGTCACTGATTACCAAATACAAGGAAACACCCACTGGATCTACACCTAGACGATTTAAAGAATCTAACAACATCAACTACCGCATCACCGTCTCCAACCGACCACACCCTCCTCTCAAGGTCTGGAGCAGGTCAGACGACGACGTCCATGTCCAAGACCACCAGGACCACCACAGCGTCCGCCATGTGCTCGGGGCGTCGCCTCGCCAAGGCTTCCCGGTGAGCTACTCGCCATCGTTGGCCCCCAATGGCGCCAAGCAAGTCCACCTCGCCGAGATCCTCATGGCCGCCTCTCCCCGCCCCGCAAAGACGACCTCCTCCTCGACGGCGCCGCCACCCACGGCGCCGACCTCCGCCGCGTCTCCGGCTCGTCACCCAACAGACGTACTCTTCCGCCGCTCACTCGCGGCGCGAGACGCCTCTTCACAGAAGCGCTGCCACCGCCGGCAACAAGAACGCCGCCTCAAAGAAGCGCCCTCGGGAACCGCGCCGCCGTCAGGAAGTACCGTGAGAAGAAGAAGGCCCACACCGCGTCGCTGGAGGACGAGGTGGTCCACCTCCGGGCGCTCAACCAGCAGCTCATGAAGAAGCTCCAGAGCCACGCCGCGCTCGAGGCCGAGGTGGCCAGGCTTCGCTGCCTGCTCGTCGACATCAGGGTTAGGATCGAGGGGGAGATTGGCGCGTTTCTATCAGAGGCCGGCGGGAAGGACTCCGTGGAACGGCGTCTCCGAGCGTGGCTTCATTCGCGTAAAGTTTCACGGAAGGGGAAGGAATTTCTCAAGTCCTAAAAGATTAGGAGTAAATATTAGGAGTTGTTGGAGATGGTTTTTTTTTCTATCTTTCTAAAAAATTAAGGATTAGAAGAATGTTTAGGGAACTCGGAAAAGCATAGCTGAAAAGGGTCTGATGCTTCGATTCCAAAGCTGCGGCCATGCATATTGCATACGCTTGGAAGCCATTCGTTGCGTTGTGCACAGACGTTTGAACCGAGTGACCAATCTGACACAGTGACACTTAAGTCCCAATTTTTGCAAATGCCAAATGCATTAGGGAAGGTGGGGCTATGCTGGGACGAGCGTCCGGGCAAGACTTGTTAGTAAAAGTGTTCGGCCAGGATTACAACCAAGATTTGTTAGGCTTGAAAGTTGAAACTATACAACAACCTAACACATGGAGCGGTTGTCAAAGTGCATGCTTGGAGCGTCAACGTTCTTGTACCCTATGAGCGATTCTTGCGGCCCTTTGAGCCAAATTTCAACGCCCACATGGAAAGGCCGGCAATGCCAGCCGCTGCTCCAAACCCTGTCCGGATATCTGCAATCAACTGACGCAGATCTCGTACAGTACTAGCCAGCAACGGCTCCTCTGCCACGTTCTTCTGATTAGACATTCTCCGTGCAGGTCCTAGTAAAATCAGGTTATAATTGCGTGGGTTATTTCGTAAGTTATTGGCATCAAACTGGAGTTCACCTGGCAGGGCAGAGGATGGCGACTGGCGAAGTTGTGCCTCGGCCGTGTGAACAATGCTCATGGAACTTTTTACACCCTTTGTCAATTCTTGACTGATCCAGACAATGGCAGCATGGGTGGTTTTGTTTCATAAACATGCACAAGAAACGAAAAAAAGGGGTAGGTGATGCTGAATCAACACACCAAGTTGCTAAATTCATGAAAATGCATCAATAAAGAGAGAACTCGTGGTAAAATTGTATACTTCCTCAACACACCAAGTTGCTAAATTCATGAAAATGCATCAATGTGGTAAAATTGTATACTTCCTCCAGAGATTGCCAGCCTTCTTCCCATGTAGATTCTTTAGGGAATATATGTTATTTTGGTTACCGGTAAGTAAGCAACAATATATGCAGATTGCAGAAGCTGGTAAATTAGGGCACAACGATGCATCCGATTTAACACAATCTATCCCCTCAAATTCTAGGAAATCACCAAGGACAAGAATATTGCTATATTTACCTAAATAAATATACTGTTGCATCATGTATCATGTGAAGAATCATTTTATAGAGTCAAGTTGAACAATTGCATAACATGGATACAATCATAATATACTCTGATAACCAATAACTGAAGAAAGTGTGAAGTTACCTTAGATCACTAAGATCTGCAGCCAAATCACCGACATCCCTTCCAACCAATCTCACTGAAGCCATAGTTTCTGCTAGTTTCTCTCTTGCTGAATCAAAGTACTTCTCGAGAAACTCTGCATCTCTCTTACATGCCTGAAAATGGTTCACATATGTTCATCGATGATAGTTACCTTCCTCAAATGAGAAGTTGTAACAAAAAGGCAACGTACCAGCATGGAGCGAGTCGCCGAAAAGAATATCAAGCACACAGATACTGCAACCTGTGTAAGGTAGCAACTATGATACAGAAACACTAGCCTTCTCAATTATGCATATTATGCAAACTAATAGTACTCATACATATGAATGCAGCAGAGTGCAGAGTATGAATTACCGTCCATCACTGAGTTTTCTGCAACTGCACCTTCCACGTGTTATTGAGGTTGAATTTACAAAAGTGTGAATTTACAGCTTCGTGTCATGTGGATGATAGCTCCAACAATTCACAGATATTAAGCACGCCAAATTTGGACCTATCAATAAAATCCGATCTATGTCTATCCGGGTAGTTGTTTAATACTCCATTGTAGAACAAATTGAGTAGACACTCGTCTCCACAAGCCTTTCACGCACAATTAAACCCGCATTCATATTTCAGTTCTCAGTGTCTGAACGATGTTCATCCGGTCGTCAGTGGATACTTGAACCTACATGCTCGCTGAGTCGCTAGTACCAACTCAGCAGTACCAACTCAGCTGGATTATGACCGCGAGGTGAAGCGGGGACAGGGGAGCGTACCGCGGAAGCAGTGACGGTGAGGGCGTCGAGGCCCCGGCGCCTTGGGGAGGCGGAGGAGGCGCGCAGGGAGGGGGCGGTAGCCACGGAGTAGTGATGGCAGCAGGCGGGGCCCGAGGAGGAGGACGAGGCCACGAGAGGCGTAGCGGCGGCGACGGTGGCGGCGGACCAACCGCGAACTAGGAGGTGACGGTCACGCGGGCGGGGGAGGCACGCGGAGGCGCCGGTGGCGGAGAGTTTGGCGTGGCTAGGGAGCGGAAGGGACGACATGACGGCGCGGCCAGCTCGGTGTTGCAGACTGGCTTAAAGCTAGAAGAACATCCAAGCGTCCCTCGTGCCTAGTCGACCTCATGCTTAAAGCTAGAAGAACATATCGTTACATGTTAAAATTTTATCGAAACTGACCGAAATTATTTAGGATGACTCATATGACAGTCGATTACTTTATGCAGATTAGCATGGCTATATATACATATCTATGTTAAAAGGTGAAACTGCCAAAGGTCCTCTAGCCTAATTGGTCGGCACCCCTCGTATCTGAGTTACGAATTAAGTACAGGTCGTCTCACAGGAAAAACACCGTGGGGATATCTCTCCCCCATGGCTCGAGTTTTTTTAAAGGTGAAACTTATTTACATAAAAAAGGTGAAACTTATAATTAAGAATATTTATGTTCATACCTTCAAAATTTGAAGGCCGACCAAAATTAGTAGGAGATGATTCAATAAGCCAACCGGCTACTATAAACAAATTGGTGTTGCCATATATATACACATGTAGGGCCCACGTTAAAGAAAGGACTAAGTAAATATCTTGCATTTCTACTTAAAATTTTAGCAGAAAATGTCTGAAATTTGTTCGAGATGATTTAATATGACAGCCATCTACTCCAACAAATTAACTAAAATTTCTTTTGATATGACTGAGTATAACAACCAGCTACTTTGTATATATTAGTGCGGGAAGATCAACATTTGAGCTCCACATTAGAAACCTAAGTTCCATGGCGGAGCTCTTAGTCAATCCAAGGGGGCAGCTGCTCAAGTCTATAAACAGTTAATTTGCGGTTACGGCGTTGTGGCGTCGTTTGATGAGCGACTGAGCATGAAGATCAGCGACCCGTTGCCACCAGGTGATTCGATGCGTCTTTCAAATCCAAAGATATCTCAAATAGACATTACATCTCCTCCAAAAAAGAAACAAGAAGAATCATAAATAATCTCCAACATACTTGTCATGTAGTCAAACTTTTTGTGGCTTTTTCGTGACGTCTACTCCAAAAGGACCAATCTCATCAGAAAACATGTAAAAAGCGGAACTTGAGCTTCAGCCAAATCCAAAAACTCAACCATATACCCCAGAAGAACCAATCTCACCAGAAAACATGTGAAAGTTGGACTTGAGCTTCAGCCAAATCCAAAAACTCATATAGCAGCCATATCTAGACTATCTTTGACCATAGTTGTCCGCCTAGATGGTCTAGTTGTCTAGCTCTACGTCTAAGCCCTAAACTGGATATCAGGATAAACAATACAATCATGTTATACTATGTAACACAACATCATCTAAGTACTCTTTTGTCCCAAGATAAATCAATTTCGAGAATTGTCTTTAAGTAAAACTTTTTAATGTTTATTAGTTGAATTTATAGAAATTAGTATCATTAGATACACCACAAAATATATTTTCATAATATACTTATTTAGTGTCATAAATATTTGTGCTCTTTTATACAAATTTCAATCAAACTTGATTTTTTTTTGACTTTAAGATAAATCTAGAAATTGACTTATTCAGGACAATAAATATTTTTGCTCTCTTATATAAATTTCAATCAAATATATATTTTTTTCTCGAATACGCAAAAGATTTGCGTATCATTGTATTAAGTAGAATAGTTTAAACAAACATACAATTAAATATATATAAAAAAGTTTAACTTAATAACTCAAGGAATGGACTTATTCATGGCCTTGTTATTGGCGCAGGCATGATATTAGAGCCCATTACACGAGCCAGTGAAAATGGAGTGATAATGAGATTTGTCATCTCATAGCCATAGGAGTGTGTTACCACGATTGAAAGTAAATAGAATGATTTCTGGGAACAACTCTCGCTGTTTTCATTGATCTCATGAGATTATATATAGATGAAGGGTTGTGTCGTACGGACGCAACCTTTGCCCAAAGGACATGTCCCTTTGGTGACGATGTTAATTGCTAATCTACTACTAATCCTAACTGTCCGTAGATGAGATCACCAGTGGAGAGGTGTCTGTTGGTGTGCAAGCGCTTGCTCGCCCGGAGACACCGTTTCACAACACTCCCCTTGATCGAATCTTTCTTGAGATCAATGTAGCCATAAGCTTGGATTACTCAAAAGACCCTGTGGGAAAAATCTGAGAAATATATATGTATAGATATGCTATAAAAACTCCTTTAAACCTTATAGGAAAATAAGGAGAAAATAACATATATGAGTGTGATTTAAATAAATCACTATGTCATTGGTATCCCATTAAAAACCTCAGTGGGGAAAAATATTGGAGATGCGACATATAGATTACTTCCCCAAAAACTATTTCAGGAAAAATATGAGAAGCAATATAAAGTGATATGTCGCTAAAACTCCTGTAAAAATCCAGTGAAAAAATTAAGAGAAAATATGACGAGATATTATTGGTATTGCCTCTTGGATAACTCACATGAAAAACATTTTCAGGGAAAAACCATCTATGAGTTGTGAGGGCAATATGTGTCTTTGATATTTCCCACAAAACCCCCGGTGGGGAAAATAGAAAATATGATACATGCTTATGTTAATATTACCTCATTAAAAACTTTAACAAGAAAACTTATAAGTAAAACTTGTGAAAGAAAAGAGTATAATATGATGCTGGTACAGGTCAACATTTAGGAGATGTCTCCCCTGATTCTGGCAAATCTCGAAGTCGCCGCATACCAATTCCATATACCAATTTTTGAAATACAGAAGTTGATAAGGACTTAGTAAATAGGTCAGCGAGATTATCACATGACTTGATTTGCAAGATGTTTATTTCCCCGTTTTGTTGTAATTCATGGGGATAAAACAGTTTAGGAACAATATGCTTAGTGATATTGCTCTTTATGTAACCTGATTGCATCTGTGTAACACAAGAGGAATTATCTTCATAGATAATTATAGGTGATTCAATTGAACCAATACCACATAACTGTTGTATGTGGTTAATCATTCTGCGAAGCCATACACATTCTCGTGATGCATCGTATAGAACAATAATTTCAAAATGATTAGTAGAGGTCGCTGTCAGAGTCTGCTTAGAAGACTTTCATAAAATAGCTGTACCTCTATGTAGGAATATAAATCCTGTTTGGGATTTTCTGTTATGAGGATCAGATAAGTAACCTGCATCAGTATAACCAATCATACTGGGATCATGATTTTTCTTAAAGAATAAACCAAGATCCTTTGTGCCATTAAGGTATCTGAGAATACACTTCGCTCTCGTCCAATGACGGCGAGTTGGGTCCGCACTATGCCTAGCTAGTAAGTTCACTGCAAATGCGATATCAGGCCTGGTGCAATTTGCAAAATACATAAGTGCGCTAATGACACTAAGATATAGGATCTCTGGTCCCAACATCTTTTCCCCACTATCCCGTAGTTTAAATGGATCTTTCCCTATTTCTAAGGGACGAACAACCATCGAAGTTTTATTAGGGTATGATTTATCCATATTGAATTTCTCCAATATTTTTTGAATATAGGCTGATTGATGCACTAAAATCCTTGAAGGACGATGCTCAAGTTGTAAGCCTAGGCAATACTTGGTCTTACCCAAATCCTTCATCTCAAATTCCCTCTTTAGATGTTTGCGTGCTTCATCTATATTCTTTGGGTTGTCAATAATATTTAAATCATCAACATACACGGATATAATACAAAATCATGTTCGAGATTTCTTAATGAAAACACATGGGCAATCATCATTGTTAGAGTATTCTTTCTTTAGAAGGAATTCCCTCAGTCGGTTGTACTACATTCATCCCGACTGCTTCAAGCCATATAATGACTTTTGTAGTTTTACACAATACATGTTGCGATTTGCATTTGGATTTTGGATTCCATCAGGAACCTTCATGTATATGTCTGAATCAAGTAACCCATATAGATATGATGTCACCACATCCATCAACTGCATAGATAGATGATTTTGAACTGCCAATGATATTAAGTATCGAAAAGTAATTCCACTCATTATTAGAGAATAGGTTTCATTGTAATCAATGCCGGGTCTCTACGTGAACCCTTGTGCTACTAGCCTCGCTTTATATCTCACCACCTCATTGTTCTCATTCCGTTTCTGGACGAACACACATTTAAAGCTTACAGGAAAGACTTTGAAAGGTGTAGATATTGCAGATGTGAATACCCCTCTTCTAGTGAGCGAAGCTATCTTAGCTTGAATTGCTTCTTTCCATTGAGCCCAGCCCGAGCACTTTTTGCACTCTACCATGGTCTTGGGATCTAGATCATTGAGAAAGATTTCTACAATTGCTGCATAGAAGTACATGTCGACAACAGTAGTCTTACGATTGTATAATTCTCCAGAATCTATGTAATTGATGGAAATTTCTTTCACCCCATTATTTGACTCAACATTTCCCAAAACTATGGAGTCAAGGTGTTCCGATATCCTAGGATCAGAATTTGGATGCACCATTGATTCGGGTCATGGATTTTGGTCCTGATGTTGGATTTTATCCACTATTGGGTGTCTACTAAATTGAGGTTGGCTTGGATTTACTGATTTGGAGGATTTAGCCCTCGATATCCTCGGACACTTACTTGTAGCATTATCCTTAGGTGCGGCCGTACTTCTCTCCCTCTTCTTTGGAAGTGGGAGTTGAATGGTTTTTATTGGTACCTTCACTCTTTCAGGCGCATTGCGAGCAGGATAAGAGGATTTAGTGACATCCTTATAATCAGTAAATGTTTTTGGCAGATTATTTGCAATATGTTACAAGTTTATGATTTTCTGAACTTATTGTTCAGTCTCTAGAGTACGTGGATCTAAGGGGGGAATGCCTTGGGCATTCCAGATGATTTCCTGGCATTCGTTTTGGTACTTGAAATCTCCTCCTAATGCCAGAAAATGGTTCTCATTAAATATGCAGTCAGCGTATCAGGCCGTGAATAAGTCTCCTGTAAGAGGCTCGAGGTAGTTGATAATTGATGGAGATTGATATCCCACATAGATACCAAGT